TGGTTGAGCAACATATATAATTTTTGAGTTAAATTTTTGACTTCTTTTTTTGAATTCACATACCATACAATACATTAACAAAAATTCATATTACTTCAATTCTTAAGTATTATCTACAATTACATGTCAAAAGGGCATAAAATAAAGTTATTATATTATAATTTTAGTAAAAATTACTTCTAAATAATAGGTAAATATTAGTTTTGATTCCTTTAATTAGTCACTTCACTTTGTGAATATACTATAGTGATACGATATATATTTTTTTGGATCTAAAAAAAATTACTAATTTTCCTTATTGGGTGTTAAAGAACTACTAAAATATTTAAGTATTAAGTTGGTTGAAAATAATAAAAAGATTAAATATATTTTATTATAGCCGTATTTTAGCTGTATCCGTATCCTACTTTTTTAGACTTTGTCGTATCGCCGTATTCGTATCGTATCGTATCCATGCTTCATGGTCAAACCCACTACGAGTGATAGGAAACTTTTAAACCCCCTGAGGTAAGAAAAAATATCTAAACACTAGGTGATATAGATTCGAGTGCAATTTACGTTTATCGCACTCACCCATATAAGAGATAAATTCCGCAATTTTTTCATAAAATTCAACTACAATCAAGAATCATTGTTCCATAACTTTTTCAAAGGAATAATTCAAGAAAACATGCAAGAGATCCCCGAGAAAACATATTTGAGTTTATAATAATCAAGAATTAGGGTTTTTGTAATCAAGACATGTAAATTTTGATGTAAAACATGTGTAGGTTTGGTTCGAAATCAAGAACTACGGTTTTAAATCAAGAACATATAGTTTTTGAATGTAAAACATTTATTTGGATATAAATAATTTGTTTGTTCAAGAATTTAAGCATATGTTAAAAAAAAGCAATATAAAAACTTTGTAGATCTATCACATATATAGAATAGGAGTCGAGAACAAAATTTTAAATCAATAATAGATAGATCTTGGAAGTAAATCATATGTTTTGTTCAAGTAATGGATCATGGATTCAAATGAATGTAAAAATATTGTAGTTTAATTATTTATATTATAGTAAGGATGCAAAATATATATTATATAACCCTAATCATCAATGAATGAATCTAAGAAAGAATCCTTACTTTGATTCCTTAGATCTTGGTCATAACATGTTTTGTTGCGATTACCACGTGTTAACCCTTCAAGATTTAGTTCTTTCTTTCTCCTTCTATTCTTCTAAAACTTTTCTAGCCTTCAAGAATTTTTGTCTGGGCGCAGTTAACAGTCTGCCCCTGACTTCCAGATCGATTTTGACCTTGTTAGATCTAATTCATAAAAGTTTTGTGAAATACACTGTGTAATCCTTGAAGTCTATTTTCTAATGTAAAAAAGACATTAGAGTAAAAAATTGATATAAATACTAAGGTAGTGTCAAATTTCATTCTACTTAAATCCTCTATAAAATAGGTATTAATTCGGAAATATTTTCAAACTTTTAATACATCTTATATAACATCTCCAAATATGTTTTGATCTTCCGGATTCAATGAAAACCTTATTTCACCTAAAAATATTTATAAAATTGCTTAACCACCTTTCTCAAACTTAAACATTTTCAAAACTCACTTTACCTCGAAAAGTCAATACGCTTGAAACTCAAACTTTATAATCAATCTTTCAACAATGATTCTAAGTTTTTACCATCATTTTGTTTATCTTAGGAGAATTTTTAAGATAATAGTATTCTTATGTAATTTTAATACGGGGTCTTACAATCTACCCTCTAAAAGAAAGTTTCATCCTCAAAACTTAATTGTCGAGTTAGTCTATCTAATTCTAATTGACCACAAGGTCTCAACGCACATTAATCCCTTAAGCATCAAATCTAAGATCAAAATAGAATATCATATTCTAAATTTTAAATCCATCCCTTCCATTTATAACATCATTGCAGTTACTTAAAGTTTCCAAGATTACCTTCTTTCACTAGCATTCATTTATCATATTCATTCTCAATAATTTTATACGATTGTTTCAACTAATTTTTTATCCTGCATAATCATAATACTTAATTGTTGATTTATCGAATAACACTTCATTTTTGAATTCATCAGTTCTTTCAATAAACCTTATGTTTACTTGTTACATGTAGCTTATCCATAAGCATATCAAAACAACTCAAATGCAATTTTACTGTTAGGGTTACTCATCTTTCCTATACTAACATTACGGTATAACAAAATTTGGTAATGACATTACAGTAAGATTTATCTCGATTCCTGAAATAGATACAGTCTTCTTAATGACTATCTCTCACTAGACTAGAAACTCACAATCTTTGAAATCTAATTTAATGTACTATAATGTTCAGCCAGAGATTTTGCCTTGTTGGGTATTAAACATCTACTCAAAAAGTTCATAGATTTGGGACACGTTATGTACTTGTGAATACATTTCCTCAAGAAAGTCCCATATTTTCTTAGCTATATCATGGAGTTGAACATTAGAGGCTATTAGAGGTGACAATCTTAACTCATTACCCATTAATTCGCCTATAAATAAATGGGTTGGTTACCTATATTAATTAATGCGAATTCTAAATGGGTTAGATAATATAATTCATTTAATTAAGCGGGTTAATATGGATTACAAATGGGTATTCATTGGGTTGAGTATTTATCTTTTTATTAAATAACATCAGTAATAAATTAAATAAATATACTAATGCATTAAAAAATACATACACACTAGTATACCAAAAAATATATAAATACACTAAATACATCAAAAAAACATACTAATACACAAAAAAATATATGCATGTACTAGCACACAAAAAAAACACTAATACACTTGCCCATAACCCACAACCCTTGACTCACAGGCTGGCCCGATCCATGACCCATGGGTCGACCCGTGGTTGACCCGATCCAGTATGTGTGTATTTTGGTGAATAGTGTATGTGTATTTTTAGTTTTTTTATTAATTGTGTTTGTTTTTTTGTGTGTTAATATATTTGTGTGTATTTTTAGTGTATTAGTGTGTATATTTTTTGTATATTAGTGTGCGTTTGTTTTGATATATTAGTGTGTGTTTTTTGTGTATTAATATGAGTTCATATTAAAGAGTTTTAATTATTTTATGGGTTTAACCAATCCGTGATAAACCCAACCAATCATAACTCATTTAATACGTGAGTGAAAAATGGATTGGATTTATTTTGATTCAACCCAATTTAATTTAGCCCATAACCAATTCAACCCACCCATTTGTCACCTCTAGAGACCGTAAATGGTTTCATACTAAGCCACAAGGCTCACAACTAAGTCATCGTTAAGGAATTCTCACTCTACCAATTTTTAGAACTTTTAAAAGTATCAGGAGGAGGGCTATCAAGCAAGGACTTGATTTTCCTTTTAGAACACAAAAAATCTTTAATGGCATGGAACCAAGAATAATAGTTGGTTCATTCACCTTCACAGACTACTGCCTAATATCATCTTTCACATAATAGATTCATCATCCACTGATGAAGCCTTTACCTCCTCCGACGGTGCCATAATAAAGTCCACAATCAAAGAGAGGCAGTAGGGAACCAAAAACTCCTCAACTAACCACTAACCGCACAAAAGGCTGAAATAAAGCCAAAAACTGCTCCAAATTAATCAATTTGCAAAACAACACAAGCTGTAAGTCAACACAATGGCTGAAATTACACCACAGAACAATCAGGAGCCAAATCAGGCCATAAAAAAAACCCAATCCCTAATAGAAACCCAAACCTGGACAGCTTCCTACAAAACCAAAACTATGTCTACACCTCTCAAAAACCACTGGGCAACACACAGGGACATGCCCCAAGTCCAAAATGCACCTATCTGGTGCAGATTGAAGTAAAGAAACTCCCAAGTATAGCCGGAATCAACAAATTTGTCCCTATTTTTGCGAAAATCATTCAAAAATAGCATGGAGTCTAATATATCCCTTCCTTTGAGATGTAATATGATAATATTTAGGTGTTAGATTAGTGTTTTGATACTGAGTTAAAATTATAGAAGTGGTATTAGGGTTTGTAAGAAGGGCGAAGAAGGTGCAAGTAAAAAAGAGAAGGAAGAGAATAATCTGTTGTGTAGACTACATTGCCCTACACTCTCTTACACACTTTTATTTATAGTAAATTGATATTATGGAAATTACAGGATTACCTTACACTACCAATAATATAAAATAAGAACTCTTCAGCCATGTTTAATTGCTACAACCTCACCCTATATTTTTTTTGTATATGTCGTGTTTAATGCTAAAAAACTCTATTAGGTCGCATGTTAATTCATTCTTTTCTCCTCCGCTATGATTAAGAATACCAAATGAAAGTTTGGGAAATTTACATACTTCGTTTATTTCCCTCTTCTCTTTTTCCCTCTATCTCTGTCTGTTGGGTATGATGCTTGACTAAATCGTCTTGTCCGCCTTGAGTTGTTGCTGTTTCTTCTTGATAGACATTCAAAACACTAAGGTGAACTTAGTGATTGACTTTTATATCTTTCTTGATCAAGTTTCTTGTGATCCTATCAATTTGAAAAGTGTTCAGTGGATGGGCTGTCGGCTCATGGGTGATCCTTTTGTTTTCCAAATACAAGTTTAAAATCTCCTACTTTTAAATTAAAGGAACTGCCATGATTCTTTTCCAGGTCTTAGCCCCTGATATGAGCTTAGCCACTGTCAAGACTTATATATGGAACAAAGGTGATGACCTTGTCCTTAACTATCGGGTGGCTAAGGTAAGGTGACTCAATGACATCCACAAGGTTAGTACCAAACTAATTTGATGTTTGTGTTTGTGCTCATGTATGTTTGCGTTTATGTGTGTGTTTGTTTTCATAAGCAGCTTTACAGCTCTGAATCTTGTTTCCATGGAAATTTTGATGTATCATCCAAAATAGGTGAAAAATGATGTGAGTACTACATATATGCTATACGAGTTGGTAGACTATAGCATAGTGTTTGGGTGTCCATGTCATATGTCGTACCATTTCATTCTACTTTAGGATTGCAACATCTTGCTTTGGTTTTTTGCATGTTGAGTCATATTTGTGGACAAATATACAATGCTTTAGTTGAGCAATGTTGTATTTTGCTTTTCATGCTTGTAGGGTTGAATGGTCCTATGATTATGGAGTTTTTATGCATACAACATAGCTGGGCGTGGTTTTTCTTGGGCTGTTTTGCTTGTAAATCTGAAAATCCATCAGTTGCCGACTCCAGCAACATTCCCAAATTGCTTAAGACTCCTTGTTTGCTGTTCCCTGGGGAATAATCTGTATTAGGGCTGTAGAACCTTTTGTGGTACCAATTACCAACATGCAAGCTTAGATGGAATTTAGTATGGGCTGAGCTCGATTGTATCGATGACGGGTTTTTAAAGTGGGGAAATTTCTGAGAGGAGAGCCTATACGGGGATATGATGTCGAAAGCTTTGTAGATTGTATTGTGGGGGTATAGCAAAAGCAACATTGTTGTGATGGTGATTATGATAACATTTTTCCTTGGTAATAAAACATTCTCCATTTATATCAAAATTGTTGTTTCATATGTTTTCTATTTTTATTTCTTTTATGTTGCTCATGTTAGTACAAAATTGATATGTCTTCTAGTGCGACTACCTGGAAATTTTATGAAGTTGGGCATAATCCATATTCGCATTCTGTTCTGTACACTGCACTTCTATTGAAATGCCGTGCCTTTTGACTTGTAATGGTGTAGTGCAGATATGCTGAATTAATGTTTGAACTTCAAAATTGTTGGTAGGAATTGTGTATGTTAACACCAGCTTTAAAGGAAATTATTTCAAGTCGTGATTACTTTCCATGAATTTCGACTCTCGCTGCGTGTGCGCTGATCTGGTTGTTGCAATGAATCATTTCGGTTTCATTTGTTGCACGTTATCTTTAATAGAGGTTGGATGATATTTACGTGTTCAATGGATTTTATTTCTCATTTTGCACCTTCGTTTTCATGCTAGTATGACCGAGGAACTCGTTTTATTTTTTAAGTGTTTTTTGAACTTTGACGTATTACATTAGTGTGGACAAGTGAAAAAGCGGAAGGCTTATTCAACAAAAAGGGAACCTTTGTGCTCTAATCAATGGCTGCTCTACGGCTGGTATTCATACTTTGCACCCTGTCGACACAAACCTGTCTACCCACCAAATCCGTCAAAAGATTGCGAGTCATAAACTGGTTGGGTAATATTACGAACGTTAATGTGGTTAGTAGAAGCTCATGAGACATACTCCAAAAAAAAAAAAAAACAATTGCTTGGATGGATCACCTAAAGAGGGGTCACATACTCACATGTAAGAGAGAGTATTAGATAAATATTTATGTCAAATCTCTCTCTAACAACTTAAATTTTTTAGATGAGTTGGGTTAATATGATATATTTAATATTTTTTTAAAAAAAATTGGTTCAACATGGAATTAAAGTCTAGAGCTCATGAGTTCAAGTCATGGCAGTTCTCCTCCCTTGTAACACAAAACAAGAAGAAACAATCACATGATGGCCCACCCAAAAGAGGGGAGTTCTCCTCCCTTGTAAAAACAAAACAAGAAGAAACAATCACATGGGCCACCCAAAGAGGGGCCTCACATAAGGGGTGTACTAGACAAATAATTACAGGGAGAATTACACTCGGGCTCTATGAGGTTTTTTATTTAATCATTCAAACTCTTTGATGTTTGAAATATTACACACAAATCCCTAAGATTTGTACGCGTATAACATTTAGGCATTTGTTGTAAATATATCTGTTAATAAATTATACTTAGACTCCTGAAGTTTGTGAGTATATAATACTTGGACCCCTAAATTTAAAATATTATATTTAGATCAAAAATACTACAATCAAATATTTTAAATTTTACAACCAAAATTTATGTTTTATTGTATCATTTACTAAAACAAAATTAAAAATAAAAATTCAATTTTTTCTTAAAAAATTGTAATTACTATACATTTATATTGTTTATTATAATTTAATTTAGTCGTTTAAACCACTAAATTAAAATATCAAATTACCCCAATTAAATCTAAAAGATATTGTGCTCATTACAGTTTGATTCCTTATTTAATTTTTGAGTTTTGTTCTAATAGACAGTATAAATATATACAAACTATGTATTTGTTTTTTTTTTAAATTATTTTTGATTTTATTTCAATAAATGACATAATAGAACATTAATTTTGGATGTAAAATTAATGTTCTATTATGAATGACTTAGACTTATTGTTTGATTTTTTAGTTTTATTCCAATAGATATTATAATTATATACTAATTACGATTTTTTCAAGAAAAAAATTAAATTTTTAATTTTAATTTTATTTCAATAAATGATACAATAGAACATGAATTTTTATTGTAAAATTTAAAATATTTGATATAAGTATTTTTTGTTAAAGTATAATATTTTAAACTTAAAGGATCTAAGTATTATATACTCACAAATTTTAGGGGAGTCTAAGTAAAATTTATTAACAGATATATTTACAACAGGTGTTTAAGTGTTACGCGCGTACAAACTTCAAGAGGTCTGTGTAATTTTTAGGGATTTTAAGTGTAATTCTCCCATATTTTATATTATACCTTTCTCTAAGAATTTAAACTTTTAAATGAGATGATGTTATAAGTTTTTAAATGACATGATGATGATGTTCAACAAACTCCACCAAAAAAATTGTAATTTTTCAAAAGATATTTCCTCCAATAAAATAGTCGAATTCAGGCCTGGATACTGTCAGTGGTGGAGCCACTTGAGGACCAAGATGCACACAAACCCGCCTTCAATTTTTTTTTTTTTTTTGTCTTACCATTATCTATATATAAGTTATTTATTTTTAAAATATATCTAATTATACTCGCTCTAATATTTTTTTGTATCATATTAATTAGTATAGATACATACCTAAATAATTATTAACTTTTCGATAAACTTTAGACATATCCAAATACGTTTTGACAAATTGGGGTCATTTTATTATTTTTTTAGATAAATTCTGAGGTTATTTGGTTATTGCAAAAAAAAATTAGGAGCATTGTGTGACAAAATACTGGATCATTTGAAAAGAGCATAAAAATTTTAAGGTTGCAGTATTAAGTTGTTTAGAGTTGAAAAAAATCAAAATGAACAATAAATAGATGACTAATAGCATGATTTTGTGCTTAATTTTTTTTTTTCCATTGCATTGATAATGAAATAATCATACAACGCTATCAAACTACAAAAATTTCAAGGATTAATTATAAATAGTTATAATTAACTTTATTTTCAATCTAATGTTATATATATATATATATATTGCCGTATAACTTGTGTATCCTGATTTTTGGCCCTTTTATGTTTAATAAATTTTTAAATACCATAGACGGTATAATACATGTATCATCTTAGTTTTATTTTGATTGCATTTTACGAAGTCACACCGGGAACTAGTGCTTGCTATCTAAGAATTGTTCCATGGATCTCATCGGAAATGTTTGATGCTTCTTGGGGCTTCTTTGGCGACCGTGAAGTCACCGGATGAATTACCGAGTAGATAGATCAGATCCGGATGCAACTGTTGCTCCGCGGCGATACGGACCCGACCCACTCCTACCCACCCCCCGGGGCACCATAGCATGTCGGGAAGATGTAATTTGTTGAGGTGTCCAGCCAATATTATTTTTCTAGTTATGCATAAGATATTATAGCCCAACAAATTTACAGCTCCAGCTCAACTCAGTATCTTACAACAGAGCATTTCACTTCATGGCAACTCAGCTGAGCTCACAGCAGAATTACATAGCTCAGCTCAGTTCAAGTTAGCTAGGACAAGTTAGTTAGGAGTTTGTTAGTATAGCTGACAAGTAGTTAGAATTAACTAGATATTTAATTAGTTAGATTCTTTCTTGCAGCAAGGGTAAGTGTGATGTAAGTACTTTTTGGTGGCGTGGAGAAATAATTCGAAATTGTATTTCTCTCTCCCTCTCTCCCTCTCTCAAACTCAAGTCAGGTCCATTCCATAAGCATTTTCAACTTTGCTGGTGAAACTCCCTTTCAACGTTTTTGAATGGCCACTTTGGGGTTGGGGTCCTTCCTTGTGATTTGGCTGGCTCAAGCACTGAATGAGTTGACTGGGTAGGCAGATCTTAGATTTGACACCTACCCCCACCAACATAAGATTTTTGAATTTATTATTAAAAAATTATCATTTTTAAACAAAAATGTCGACCTATCACACTTTTTTAACTTATTTAATATCATCTACTGCAATTTTTGAAATAGACCAAGAAAACAGAATAAACAAAAACACTCTTAATATTTATGAAAAATATCTTTTTTTTCTTTTTGTTGTATCATTTGTTTAAAGCAGAATTGTTAATTCTGTTTTCAGAGCAAAATCGTGTTGATAACGGAATCAACAATTTCGCTTTCAAAAACTGCAATAAATCGGTAAATAAATTAAAAAAATACGATAAATCGATATTTTTGTTTGAAAATGACATTAATTTTGGTAATAAATTCTAATACTTGTTTGCTTTGCCTTTTAGACACTTTTTTTGTTTTACAATCTAAAGAGTGCAATAAATTTACCAGCCGAATGTTCTCATGTATTGTTTGTCAAGGATGTTTCTAAGTTGAAAACGATTTATTTACTGAGACCCCTTGACATATAGTTATTATAGTGTCATCCCCAACATTTTCAAAATAAAAGGGAATTTCGGTTTACACGAGGTTAATATATTGTTTAGAAATTTGGTCAAAATTCAAAAAGTCAATTTAACAAAAATAAAAAAAGAAGAGACGTATGGTCGAAGACAACCCCGTAGAACCATCCCCCTATCGATGTAACTATAGCCCCACGCAAGGTTGGGGCAAGTAAGGGGCTAAGGGATCCCTCGCCCACCTTATATTCTTCTAAATTATATATAAGTATGCTAATTATTCTTCAAATAATTGATTGTGTTATGTATTTCTCTAATTATTTGAAATATCATATCGTACTGATACACCAATTGAGAATTAGGAGGACCCCATAAAAAAATCTGGTATCGTTGATTTATCAAACAAGGCGAAATGTCGGGTAGAAGAAAAAAGCATATTGGTAGCTAATGGGTATATACCAATAGAACGTGGTGAAACCTTTGGACATAGCTTGTCAATTGACCAAATTTTAATCTAAATTTGATCTAAATTTGAATCCGTTTAAAGCGGATATGAATCAAAATTTTAATCAATTAATCCGATTCAAATTTGAATCCAAATCTAATTAGAGTTGT